TGTAGAAAAAGTTTGCTTAAAGGACATAGATCTACAGTTAACTAACTGACCTTGTAGAAAAAGTTTGCTTAAAGGACATAGATCTACAGTTAACTAACTGACCTTGTAGAAAAAGTTTGCTTAAAGGACATAGATCTACAGTTAACTAACTAACCTTGTAGAAAAAGTTTGCCAAGAAAAATGCCACAGCAGCAACGATGGAGAAGATGATGGAGAGGATGAGGAGGTTGACGCTCATGTTGTGGTTGTCGTAGAAGAAACAGGATCCTTCGCCGTCGCAGCGTTTCTGCCACACTAGACAGGCCAGGTCAAACATCTTGCCAAATAGGATCGGGCCCGGGATGGAGCCTGGAAGGTGAAAAATTAAAATATTGATGAAGAATTGGGCTCAAGATGGATAAAAATGTGGAATTCTGCATTTAGGCTTGATGGAACTAAACAAAAATATTGATGAATCTAGTAAGCCCTATGTGATAGACTATTTTAAAAAATGAACATTCTAGATAGAGCCTTGACAGAATAAAAATAAAATATTGATGAAGAATTGTCGTGTTCAAGATCGATAAAAATGTGAATATTCTAGATTTAGGCTTGAAGGAACAAAACAAAAATATTGATGGAGACTCGATTGTGTGCATGACCGATAAAAAAGTGAATCTTGTGGACAGAACCTTGAAGGTGAAAAATAAAAACAAAGATGAAAAATTCTATTCCTGGTTGATAAAAATGTGAATATTCTGGATGGAGCCTTGAATGTGAAAAATAAAAACATTGATGAAGAATTTAATTATATTCGTGGTTGATAAAAATGTGAAGATTTTGGATGGAGCCTTGAAGGAACAAAACAAAAATATTGATGAAGAATTGTTTATTTTAGTTAGAGTTTTCTGGCACTTGCAACACAATTATACATATATAAGTGCTGATGATTTGAGGTGTTAAAAGAGAAAAGCCAACACAAAAAAGTAGTTCAGTTGCACTTTCAACACTATTAACAAACACAGAAAAGAAGGAGGGGATTTTTTAGTCTTAGTAAGTTAAGTAAGCCTTTTATGGCACTCACAACACACCAAATAATATAAAAGCTGAAGATTAGATTATGTCTTACAAGAGAGTAACAAACATAAAAAAGAAGGAGGGGATGTAATGACGATAGATGTTTGATAGGAAAGAAGGAGCAAGCCACAACAGAGCACCAGCCAACCACCCACATTGAAGAATTGTGAACATGATTGATAAAAGTGAGAAAATTCTGAAAACTTTCTTATACAAACATTATGTTTAGGCCTAAGCATTTGGTAAAATATTTTTTTTTTTCATTTTTTTTTTTTGGGGGGGGGGGGA